TGTGTGTGTGTGTGTGTGTGTGTGTGTGTGTGTGTGTGTGTGTGTGTTTGAAATTAAAAACATGTGGTATGTCAGGTAGGAACAAATGTTTTGAAGCAAAATGAGGCAGGGGAAGAGAATGACAAGAAAGAGGGGGCTCACTTCAGAGACTGTTCTGTGATGTAACGGTAATGCACAGTCATGTTATGCTCGGGAACAGCCTTCCAGACTGAAGGAACAGCAAGGACAGACGCCCTTAAGTGTGAACAAGACTGAGTCTATGAAGCAACGGAGACTCCAGGATCTGGGACTGGAGAGGTGGCTCAGCAATCGAGAATCCTGTTCTTGCAGAAGATGCAGGTCCTATTCCCAACACTCACATGGTGGCCCACAACTCCAGTTCCAGAGAGCCCACACCATCTTCTGGCCTCTGGAGGCACCAGGCATATCCCGTAGAGCACAGACATACGTGTATGCAAAACACTCATATATATTTAAAAAAAAAAATCCTAAACAAAGGAAAAGGAGAAAAACCAAACCAAACCACAAGGGCGGCGGAAGAGACAGCAAGTGGAGGGAGTACTGCGGAGAGAAAATGGCTGCAGGGTGGGGGCTGACGGGAGACCTCTTGGTCCATCAGAAGAGGTTTGTTTGGTTGGTTGGTTGGTTTGGTTTGGTTTTTGAAACAGGGTTTCTCTGTGTAGCCCTGGCTGTTCTGGAACTCACTTTGTAGACCAGGCTGGCCTTGGACTCAGAGATCAGCCTGCCTCTGCCTCCCAAGTGCTGGGACCAAAGGTTTTCGACACAACCTCCTGGCTAGGATTGGATTTTTATCCTGAGGTTGATGGAAAGTCCCTAGAGGATCTTTTACAGGGAAGTAATACATTATAATCTGGGTTAGGGGTGTGTGTGTGTGTGTGTATGTGTGTGTGTACACTTGTGCATGTGATTTGGGTTAGATGTGTGTGTATACACGGGTGTGCACACATGCACAAAAGTACATGTGCATGTAGAAGCTAACATAGAAGCTAGAGATCAACCCCAAAAACCATTCCTTAAGAAACATCCATCTTAGACAGGCGTGGTGGTGCCCGCCTGTAATCCCAGCACTCGGGAGACAGAAGCAGGTGCATCTCTGTGAGTTTGAGGCTATCCTGGTCTACAAAGTGAGTCCAGAACAGCCAAACCACACAGAGAAACCCTGTCTAAAAAAAAAAAAAAAACAGGGAAGGAAGGAAGGGAGGGAGGAAGGAAGAAAGAAAGGGAGGGAGGGAGAGAGGGAGGGAGGGAGGGAGGGAAGGAGGGAGAGAGAAAGAAAAGAAAACAAAACAAAACACCCACCTCTCTTCTTGAAGCAGGGTCTCTTTACTGACATGCAGCTGGCCAGGGTGACAAGCAAGTCCCAGGAATCCTTGTTTGCACAGCAAGTACCTTATGGAGGCATTACCCCCGTCTCCATGATCCTTAATAAAGTTTATAGCATTTTATTTATCTATTCTATATGTATATGTAGGAGTGTGTGTGTGTGTGTGTGTGTGTGTGTGTCAGAGAACAATTTGTGGGAGTCATTCTCTCCTTCTATTTGGGATCTGGAGAGCAACCTCAGACTGCAAGGCTTGGTGGCAAGCACCTTTACCTGCTGAGCCACCTCACCAGCTCCAGGAAGCTGCTTTTGATTTTTGTTTGTTTAATTTATTTAAAGCTCATTTGTAGGCCAAAGCATACAAGTAGCATATGCCTTCAATATCAACACTTCGAAGGCAGAGACAGGCAGATCTCTGAGTTCCAGGCCAGCCAGGGCTAAATAGTAAGAGCCTGTCTTAAAAATAAACAGCCCCTCCACCTCACTCTGTTACTAGATGCAGAACACACTGAAGGGGCAAGAAGAAAAGCCAAATGATTGCTGCAAAGTCCCAGGTGTTAGCCATGTTGAGTTCACTGGGTGGGAGGAGGTGAGAGGTCACTTTCTAGATGTAGCTTGAAAGCTTCGTGACATGATTGTGGATTGGCTAGTTACACAATGTGAGGAGAAGAGAGCAAAGGGGATAGCTAGAACTGTGGTTTGGGGCCCTGGCATCTGAGGGAAGTGTTTTGCAGAATCGGGAGCACTGAGGAAGATATATATGAGAGGGGAGAGGACAGAACAAAGATCTGGAGGAGCCATGGCAACTGTGAAATGTGACTATACCAGCCAAGAAAGAATAAGCTGGCAGCTGGAGCTAGAAGTCTGGAGCGGATGGCTGACATCTTCCAACAGTTACAGAAACTCGCTCTATGCACCATAAATGTGAGCAGAAAACTTAGGGAAGGGGGAAAAAAGACATAGTGGTAAAATGTATTCAAATATAAGTAAAGCCAGGCAGCAGCGGCACATGCCTTTAGTCCAGCACTTGGGAGGCAGAAGCAGGTGGATCTCTGTGAGTTCCAGGACAGCCAGGGATTCACAGAGGAACCCTGTCTCAAAAAACAAAAACAAAACAAAGAAAACCTAAGTATGACAAGATAAGCAACAAAGCTCAAGGCAGACAACAAACTTAAATATTAGACATATCGATGACACAGCAAATACAAAAATTAAAAAGAATATTTCTACACTATTGTTTAGTTTTGTTTGAGACAGGCTAGCCTCAAACCCACTCTATCACCCAACCTGACCCTTAACTCTGGTCCTCTTGTCTCCACCTGCTCAGTGCAGGTGAACTTGAACCCAGAGCCTTGGGTGTGTAGGCAAGCATCTA